CATAGGGGCAAACACTGGCTCCATGTAACACGTACTTTAACTGCAGCATGGAAATGTTACATCACTATCACAAGGTCAAATCACTAACATAAGGCATTTGAACTCAGAATGGCGGGACTTGACACGCAGTGTTTGTTCTTTGTCTTAGTGGTTTCCAAACACCAAGCTCTGGGTTAGTGCAAGCCTGGCCATTCCTGAGACCCAGCTGGCCAGCACTGTCAAAATACCCAGGCCACAGACTTTAGAAAAGCTAGTCCAGTATGTTCAGAATGAGACCTGGGAAACTTTTTTGTTTTTTAATGTCCTTGACATATTCCTGCAGCCAGACTTCAGAACTATTGCAGTATATACTCTACTAAGCTTTTCTCCTAGCAATTAATTAACTGCTATCACAGCCATCTTGGCTCATCTCCAAAAGTAAAATGTAACTGTTGTTCTCAGAAATGTATCTGATCTTTCCAGGAACCATGAAATACATTTGCAAAATAGTCCAGTGGTACATTAGAAAATATCCTTGAGTTGGGCCTTAAGGGTGCTTCCTTATGTTCAGAAAATGAGAGTGCAAACATTGGGGTTAATTTATTGCCCACAGTTGTCTTTCTGTATAACTGTAGTTTCCTGCCGGGTTCAAGATTTTCCTTACTTCTTGGTGACTGAGAATGCCAGGGCTGCTGTGCTCAGGGCAAGCTCCCATCTCTTAGACATTATTGATTCACTACTCCTCCAGGGTTTTACCTGTTTTGGATGGGGGGCTATACATCTGTTTCAACCAACTTTCTAAAATACACTTTTTCTTAATACAGCTTTTATTTTGCCTTCTTGCTAAGGACTCTATTGAGCATCTCTTGGGACCTGAGGTGAAGCTTTTTATAGCCTTATACTCTCCAGTAAGAGATTCTTTGTGTGCCCCTATGTCCAGGCCTCCTTATTTCTCCTCCTAAATCCTCTTCTGTAGAGAGGTCCACAGCTAAACTAACTAAAGCAGGGTCCAGCAAAATGATGCAGGGGCCTAATCTAGCCTGGCACCTGTTTTTGTAAATATCCTGTTATTGGAACACAATCAGGCCCATTCATATGCTTGTCAGTGGCTACTTTCATGCTCCTATGGAAATACTGAATAACTAAAAGTAGACAGAGACCATATGGCCCGCAAAGCCAGAAGTATTCACTATCTGGCCCTTTAAGAAAAAGTTTGCTAATAGCTGGATTAAAGGAACACATCCACTGAAACTATTTATACATTATACTCCAGTAGAGAAATACTATATAGACTTCCAGAACACCTCAAACCACATATGCTGTAAGAATTTCTTGCTTGCCTATTTTTCCTTATTTTAATCCATAACTTTAGGACACAACATACATATTATTTTTTCAATCTCATGTTCAGATTTCACTGGTTATTAAAGAGGTAATACTAAGACCTAACAATGATGGACAGTCTTGTCAATAAAGCCCATTCTTTAATATATAATACATCACCTCATTACTTCTGTGAGGGGAAGGGATAAGGAGATTATTTGAATCTCTATTAATTTGTCTTAATTCCACTTGCCCTTTCTTCCATCTGCTAAATTAACCCAAATTTCATCAATTTGTAACTTGTATTGATGATAACAAAAGAAAACCATTTTTTCTTTTCATTTTCTCCAGACCATCTTGGGAACTAGTGATGATACAAAGTAAATATCTAGCAAAATATTAACCCAGGAAAATAAAGATCTAGGAAAAAAATTTCATTTCTATGAAAACCAGCAAAGTACCTTTAAAAACTCATTACTCTTTTCAAATTCCACAAAAGCTGCTAAAGAAAATCTGGATTTGATATATGATTGCAGAAAAGCAACGCTTGTAACTGAAATATGCACCTTGTCTTTAATTATGGTTGCATTTCTTGCCAAGTTATGGATATTTAAAAGTATCAGTGCGCCCTCTTGCGGTCCTTTGCAGTTACTGCTCTTTTATACTAATAATTTTAGAAGTTTGGTATGGACCCATTAAATTTTTTTGTTAAGTCACTTTACAAGAGACTACTTTATCTTACATTTCATTTGTGATCGATTTACAGTAATGAGTAATAGATCCTGGGACTTGCAGAATGAACTGCTAAATTACGCTGGGCTGTAATGAAATAGGATTTTCACTGTTTGATACCTACCCTGAGGTCCCAAGAACAGTAATAAATCTACCATCCGTTTTGCTCCATAGGACTACTTTGCAGGAGAAAAAATATAAAGTCTAACATTACCATATTCTTACACATCATGTGTTATAAAGAAATTCTACCTAATCTGTTTTCTAATTTGAGGGTGTTGATATATATACATAAGTGTAAATATTTTTATCAAAGGGCACGAGAAAATCCCCATAAGTAGAAAAATGAAAAGGCTTTATGAAAGTCAAACCTACATCCCAGTTTCTGGTTGCTTCCTTTCAAAGGGAGTTTGGAGTACTTGTTGTGGCCACTTGATTTTGTGAATTCATTGTTTTAGGCCGCAGTGCAAGCCTTAGATTACCTTTTGGCACTTGTGAGACCAACTACCCATAATATGGTATCTCCTCTGAACTGTTTGGGCTTTTTGTTGATGTTTTTAAATATATATACAAACCTCACCACTTACTAGCTATTCTGGGGTCCCTTGAGCAAGTTATTTTAATACTCTATCCTTAATTCCTCATTTACAAAATGGAAATATTAGTAATGACAACCTCATACAGCTGTCACGAGGACTAAATAGAAGAATAAAGTTAAAAGGTCTGGCCAGGGCTGGGCATATAGGAAGAGATTAGTAACTGTTATGATCAGTATTACTACTAGACTTCTGAATATATTCTAACATTAATTTCTTAAAAGTTCCCTCTCCTTTTGTCACTTCCCACTTTTCTAGTGTATTTTTGATCTATTCTATTACATTTTGTGTTTATGCTTGCCTTTGTTTATTGTATGACAATGGAAAATCTAGATTTAAAAGTGTGGGTTCTTGTTTCAGAACCCTGCCTTTCAATTGGCTTATTGCCATGACCAACATTGGACAACTGCATGCATATTAGGGCCAATACCTAGAAATGTAAATAGTGGAATATCTCTGTGCTACTCAGGTATGAATCTTTGGATACCCTTTTTACTGGATAGCTGTAATAGGCATCCTGATCAGATGTTTAAAAAATATAAAGAGCACTAAAATAAAATACTGCTTGCTTTTCGGTGGTCAGGAGATTCTTCTGCACTTATCTGGAAATTTCTAATACAAATAGCTTTTGTGGAAAAAAAATCTCTCTCATCATGGATCTATCCATTTTAGAAGAAAAATAAACACTGACTGTATCACTGGACAGGACAGATGCTCCAAATGTTGAGGGTTTTTTTCTGCCCACAGCTTTATCAAACATCAAGAGTAACTTTCTAGGTCAGCTCCAGCTGAAAAGTACTCATTTTAGAATCTTCATTTTTTTGTTTCCCTAGCAATGCTATGACACCATGTCAAGGTTCTTACACTCAAATTAGAGCCTAAACAAGCTTCTTGGTTTTTCCTGTACAATTTATATTTGGAGGGGTTTTAATCTCATTACATGTTGCAAGCCTAAAATATGCTGAGAGAGAAAGAGAGAGAGATGCTTTTTAGGCAGGAAGCTCCAGATAATAAACAGATTTTACCTATGCCCACCCTAGTATCCAGGATTGTAGTCTGTTACCTAGGAATGAAATGCTAAGCTGCAATGTATGATCACTATAGTAACTAGAAGGGCACTGAAACACTGAAAATGTGAGATTTTAAATTTGGTTCCAAGTGAGTAACATTATCAATCCTATTCTTGTAGGAGCTAATTTTCTTCAACAAATCTTCCTTATACATTACATGAAAGTTCCTTTTCTTGTGCCAATTTCCAAAAACATTTAAATTAACAAATTCATTCCAGTTTTCAGAACAATTATTTTTGTTTTCTCAAACTCTAACTTAAAATGACCATGTCTTAATACTAGTTAGCTTTTACTGGATGATAAATAGAACATTGTTTTCTGGATACACACTTCTAAGTAACCTTTTTTTTTAGCACCGGAAGTGCACCATCCCACCTGCATTGTGACTGTTGGCTGTGATTCATTCAAAGCTGACATATTGTAGGATTTTAGTACCTTTTGTGATGTTAACTTCCCTACCCACAAACAGCCTTCAAACTACCCAGACAAGATAAAAAAGTTAATGGCATTTATATTTTCCTAAGCATCAGAAAAAATTCAATCCCACAGAATTAAATGCCTTTAGGAAAGAAAAAATGACCATGTGGATGTTTGAGATCAAAGACAGAAATATCTTCCTTCTCTGTTTAGTGTTCTTAAACTCCGGGAAGCCTCTTTTATTTTTTACTTTTTCTCCATTCCGTTTCCCTCTTGGTTCTCTGAATTAAAATTAGGAACCCGGAAGACAGATTTGACCTTCATTTGTGCTCTATTTCTAGGAACATACAAAGTCCAATAGAGGATTGTTCTGCTTCTTCACAAATGATTAATTCTGCTTCTTTGGTGTTCCTAACACAAACCTGCAGGGTGCTGGAAAGTATCTTATGGTAAACAAACTCCTGTAAACCCATGAAGGAGAACTGTGTTCCAAGTATTGCAAAAACATGTGTTGCTAGTTTACTATAAACCATAGACAGTACAAAGCTCGCTTTTGTCTATTGCCTATTGTTGTCTAAAAATAACAGATGCTCATGACACAACTTTTAAGAAAAAACTTTCAGAAGACGTCAACCTTCCTTGGACTATATCTCTGGAAAAGCTGGGTGGACAGATATATTTTGAAAGACTGCATTGTTTCCAACCAGACACCCTGATAGAGCAAACACCTCCCATTGGTCTGCGCTAAGGAGCAGATGGGACGTGCAGTGTTTCCATGTTCAATATCACCAGCAGGATACAGTTCATAATAATTAAAATATATCCCCCTTCTCCTTTGCTGAAGAGGCCAAAAAAAGGGAACAATCCTACTAGTAAGGTGAAATATTTATTTTTCAATAAGTTGTCAGCTGACCATCTTTTCTTTCAGAGTCTGTCTTGCATAGGTGCTGGAAATCCTTTTCCTCTGCAATATTCTTTCTCTCCTCACTTCTCCAATGATGCTTAACCCCCCTCTCCAGGGTGCTGGCTCCATCTTGGGAATGGAGAAGGCAGTAAGATTCCTTGAGGTCATGATGATCATTTTTCCTAGACAACTCAACCTCTGTTATACTTGCATTCTCCCTCCTAAAGAGCAGCTTTAACATTTCAGAATCTTCTGATTGGAGTATTTAAAATAAAGACAAACACTTTTTCTTATAACATTGCTCATAGCATCACATGTCTAATGTGTTTAAAATTTCTTTCATTTGAATCTGTATTACGAAACTCCCCTCATCAGAAGTAAAGAAGAATATATATACATACATATGTGCATTTGTGTATTTATCTATCAGTTCAAGAAGCCCAAAGAGGATCTGTAGTAGGTTCTGGGAATACAGAAATTAATAATTCATATGCACAATGGCAGTGTGAATTCAGAGATTAACTGGGGAAGGGATAGGAGTGGTTAATAGACATACAAAAAAATTAATAGCAGTGCAGTTCTGACAGCAGTGCAGGGCTGTCATCGAGATATGAACAAAGTGCTATGTTAGCTCTGAGGAAGGTTCACTCTGAACAAGTGGGAGGCAGGCATAAGAACACAATGGAAAGCATGCACCTGAACTAATTTTTCTGGACTTAGTTTCCCCCAGAGCCATTTCTGAAGTGGACCTGTGCCATTTTACACAGCGGGTTTGCATTCTATAATTGGTGCTTAACAGTGAAACAGACACAGCCACAGAACACCAAGAGTGGAGATGGCAGGAGGAAGATGTGATGGTTTGAATAGATTTCTGATGATCGGAGCACTGTACAGTATATTAGTTTGCTAGAGCTGCCATAAAAATATACCACTGACTGGATGGCTTAAACAACAGTTTTTCCTTACAGTCTGAAGTTAGAAGCCTAAAGTCAAGACCTTGTCAGGGTTCATTTCTTCTAAAGGCATCTCTCCTTGGTCCATAGATGGCTGTCTCTTTGCATGGTCTTCCCTCTGCGTGAATGCATGTGTGTCTTGGCCTCCTCTTCTTACATGAATACCAGCTATACTGGATTAGAGTTCACTCACATGACTTCATTTTACCTTGATCACCTCTGTAAGGCTCAATCTCCAAATACAGTCATATTCTTAGGCACTGGGGGGTTAGGACTTGACCAAGATTCTCCCCATGACCAAATTTTGGTCAGACTCCTCTGAGCTTTATTTTTCACTAGGCCTGAACTTTGGTTCCCATATCCTTCCTTGTAGAGTCCATTTCTAGTAAGAATCCTGCTAAGTCAATTTAACCAGAATCCCCCATCCTCAATATCTGATCATCACCCCTCTTGATATTCATTTGGGTTCCTCATCATCTACCTTCTCCCAAGTGATACTTGATCACCCTAGTTTATCTTCAGCAAGAATCCTGTTAGGTCTGTTTAGCCAGGATCCTCCCTTGCCTGTAATATTCCTTCTTAGTAATTCTTCATCCACCTAGCTTCTTGGTTACAAATTCCCATGTATTCTCTGTATTCAGAATTCAGCCCAGTCTCTCTCCCCTACTACAAAGCCCCATTGTAGTGATACCTATACCTATTGTGATAATCCCCCTGAATTAAGTCTCATACAGTTTTTTAACAAATGTCATTAATAATTTTCTCTTTAACAGTCTTCAGTACATGAATTTGGTGCACAAAGTAGTTGTCATTCAGTAGGATAACAATTCTGTGTGGCTTAGCAAAAATACACTTAAAGAAAACACAAAATCAACAAATGTCATGACATTCTACTATATATGTCTCATGGCAATTGAAACTCCCATTACTATTCTACCAACAAAAAATCATTTTTATAATTATTACCAGGTATGGATTGCCTACTAGTTTAGTCCAGCAGAGAAGTTAAGGACCCTAGAGTCAGACAACCTTGCATTTAAGTACCAGCTCTACCACTTACCATGTGACCTTGAACAATCCAACTTCACTCCATCTCATTTTTTCACCTGGAAAATTTGAATAATGACTATGTCTTTCTTCAGAGGACTCTTGTGAGGATTATATGATACAGTAAAAATTATTGTTATCATTACTATTTTTCAGGGGTTATATATAATAGGAGTTTTATATATTTCATCTATTTTAATTTCCTACAAAAACCCTACAAGGTATATCTCATCAGTCTACAGCCTCCTAATATCACACCTACCCCTGCTATCATTGAGGACAATTTCCATGAGGAGATTTGTAAGAGCTTTTCTCCCCAAATGTGATAGAAAGAGTAGCTTCCCTCTCTCTTTTGGATGGCACATTCTAATGTGTGTATAGTTGCCCTTCTGGCACATTCCTATGACAGCCCCTCCCTGGGATATTTTTCTGCTCATCCATAGTACTCATGCTGCTTCTTGTTACCAAAAAAAAAACAAACAAAAAACCCCATCAACTAAAGCCTAACATAAAGGATTTTGTTAATGGAAAGTGCAGAAAGGAGGCATGATGCTACATCAACAAAAGCAGTAAATTGCTTTAAACTGTTTTTATTTAAATGTTCTAAAACCCCATATGAATTCACTCTCTCCAGCACAAAAATTAGGAACATGTACAATTGGATCTCATAGTTATTAATACAATGCAAAGCTGACGTAGTTTCATTTTGATATTGGAGGTTTTAAAAAATCTTTTTCTTGATATTTCTTTTAGTTTTACCTACTGTTGTAATTTGCTTTACAATACCATGGTATGTAAACTCTTGAGAGTTTGAGAACTCTGTGTGCATAAAATTCTAACCTAACACTAGAGATCAATTAGCATATGAAATGACCTGACTGAATGAACACCCTAAGAATTAGCTAGGAGGCATTCAAAAGTATTTTTGTCAGAATCAACATCAGAAGTTTTATTATTTAGCATGTTAGGTAAATTTTCTAACTGGCAAAATTAGTGGAGCTTAAATTCTGTGATTTTTAGAAGTTGGGCATCTCCATTACAGGAGCAACATGTAAATGAATACCTGTCTGGGCCAGTAGTTCACACCAGGGCGATAGCTGGTATGACCCTGTCCCCCTCCCATCAGTGGACAAGTCAGTCATCTGAACGGACCAGAGTCTGGCCTCTCTCCATCAGAACATGCCTGTCTTCCTCCGGTACAAAACCTTTCATGAGGGTGTTGGTCATTGTGTCAAGGGCTGAAAACTGAAAATATTCCAAGTATACACAGGCTGCATGATTGTTTCGTGCCTGCTTGCTAGCAAAGATTTGTTTGCTCAGAATAATATAGTTTGAAATGTGGTTTTGCTACAACTGCCTGGTAGAAAGGTGCTGGGTAAGAAACAGAGCTGATGCTGATCTTCAACTGCTGGAGAGTTCTGACAAAGTCCAAAATTACCTGACATTCATGGAACAGTAAACTGGATTAAGTTGGTTTAAATTCTTACACTCTGTTCTTCAACACATACAACATAATAATCCTGTACACTGTATTTCCTCTTGCTGTACTGACATTTGTGTTCATTATCAAGTTCACTGCCTGTGAAACAAGTGCAGTCTACTGGTCAGAATATCAACCTCAGGCAACACAGAAATGCTCTGGTTCTGTAACCATTATTCAGGTATTAAGTCATGAGTTGTCATGCAAGCTCCCAGACTCTTTTTTTTTTTTCTTCTTCTCTTAAATAGACTTTATTTGTTAGAGCAGTTTTAGGTTCAGAGCAAAACTGAATGCAAGATATTGAGATTCCACATTACCATCTGTTCTCACATACACACACAGCCCTCCCAACTATCAACATCCCCCAACCACAGTGGTACATTTGTTACAATTGGTGAAACTACCATTGAAACATCATTATCACTGGAAGTCCATAGTTTACATTACGGTTCTCTTTTGGTGTCATATAGTCTATGGAACATGACAAATGTATAATATAATCCTCTGTGTTCTGTCTATTCATTCTTTCCTCTCCCTGTCGCCTGGCAACCACTGATCTTTTTATTTTCTCCATAGTATTGCCTTTCCAGACTGTCATACAGTTGGAATCATACAGTATGTAGGTTTCTCAAATTGGTTTCTTTCACTAAATAATATGCATTTAATATTGCTTCACATCTTTGCATATCTTGATAATGTAAGGTTGGAAGCCCCGGAGGGAGGGGTGAGCACGTCAGACACTGATGATGTGCCAAAGTCCCTGGCTGCTGCCCCCTCCCAACCTCAAAAATGTGCCTTAGGCTATCCAATCCTCGCGCCACTGTAAATCTAAGCTCTGCCTCCCCCTACCTTCTTTAAAAACTCGCTGCCTGCCCTGCTGAGCATGACTTCCCCGGCCTGTGACTAGCCAGACCGGGGAACATCGCCCATGATTGTGCTCAAATAAACTGCCTGGCCCTTTGTTGCCTCTCATTGCCTGCTTATTTCGGTTAGAATTTATCTTACAGATAGCTCATTTCATTTTAGTGCTGAATAATATTCCATTGTCTGGATGTACCACTTTGTTCATTGATTCACTTACCTAAAGATAACTTGATTGTTTCCATGTTTTGGCAATTATGAATAAAGCTTCTATAAACTTCCATGTTCAGGTTTTCATGTAGATTTAAGTTTTGAACTACCAATGAGTACAACTGCTGGATCATGCAACAAGAGTATATTTAGTTTTGTAAGACTGCCAAATTGTCTTCCAAAGTGACTAGACCATTTTGCATTTCCATCAATGAATGAGTTCCTCTCCCTGTACATCCACCAGCATTTGATGTTGTCAATATTCTGAATTTTGGCTGTTCTAATAGGTGTGTAGTAGGAGTTTTTCATTGTTTTAATTTAATTTCCCTAATGACATATAAAGTAAAGCACCTTTTCATATGCTTATTTGCTATCTGTATATCTTTAGTGAAATGTCTTTCAGGTCATTTGCCCATATTTTAATAAGGTTGTTCATTTTCTTATTGTTGATTTTTAAAAGTACTTTGTATATAAAGACTAGAAACAACAAATGCTGGCAAGGATGCAGAGAAAGGGGAACCCTCCTACACTGCTGGTAGGAATATAAGCTAATTCAACCATTGTGGAAAGCAATATGGAGGTTCCTCAAAAAACTAAAAATAGAAATACCATTTAACTTGGGAATTCCACTCCTAGGAATTTACTCAAAGAAAGCAAGACCTCAGATTCAAAATGACATATATACCCCTATGGTTATTGCAGCACTATTTACAATAGCCAAGATATGGAAAAAACCTAAGTGTCCATCAGTAGATGAATGGATAAAGAAGATGTGGTACATATACACAATGGAATACTATTCAGCCATAAGAAAGAAACAAATCCTACCATTTGCAACAACATGGATGGAGCTGGAAGATATTATGCTCAGTGAAATAAGCCAGGTGGAGAAAGACAAGTGCCAAATGATTTCCCTCATTTGTGGAGTATAACAACTAAGCAAAACTGAAGGAACAAAATAGCAGCAGACTTACAGACTCCAAGAAGGGACTAGTGGTTACCAAAGGGGAGGGGTAGGGGAAGGCAGGTGGGGAGGGAGGGAGAAGGGGATTAAGAGGTATTATGATTGGTTCACATGGTGTGTGTTGGGGGGGTCATGGGGAAGACAATGTAGCACAGAGAAGACAAATAGTGACTCTGTTACATCTTACTACACTGATGGACAGTGACTGCAATGGGATATTTGGGGGGACTCAATAATGTGGGTAAATGTAGCAACCACATTGTTTTTCTTCAGAAACGTTCATAAGATATATATCAATAATACCTTCATAAAAAAACATTTTGTGTATTTTGTATAATAGTCAGGTAACAGTTATTCTTCTAAAATTTAGATACAATAAACACATATGACCTACAGCTATAGCAAGTATCAGTGTCATTCTGTAACACTGGTATGTAAGAAATATCACTTCTCTTAACTTCTCTAAAAATAGTTAAATTATGCAGAGTCTTCTTCTACTTGTTTGGTGAGACAGTCAATTTCAATCTTTTTATTAGGCTCCTTCCTTCCACCAGGAAGCTCTTGAAATTTATAGGGATCTCACACACAGTATTCAAGAATGGGTCCTCTCATCTCAGTCTACAATACTCACCACTAACCCTCACCTTCACTGCATCCAAGTGGTCCTATGAAAGTAGATAATGCCATATTTAGCTCTTTAGAAATACTTGGTTCCTGCTCACCTTTACAAAATTTTCTGAGACAAGGAAAATAAAAGTTAGGCTCTTTCTTTGGTGGGTGAAGATAAAAATATATAAAATAAGAAATACAAAAACACTAATTAGTATTTCAAATGATCCTGCCTCAGGGATAGAGTTCAAATTCCTGAGTGTGGCTACAAGACATATCTACACTTCCCAATTTCACCTCCATCCCATGGTGTGCTGGAGCAGATTCATGAGAGCCAAGTTAATTTTCAGGAATGTGGTGGGCCAGCTGTTAAACATAGCCATTATAAAAATTAAATTAAATAAATCTCACTCCCTTTCCCCTCCAGTCTCCCTAGAGAGTCCTCCCATTCCCATTTGAGTTTCCAAAGCACTTTGCAAATACTTGTATTGCAACAAATATTACATGGCTCTTAATTTTTTTTCATTAAAACATGCACCCTACTATGAGCATGTCAATAAGATTTTTCATTCGTATTTATCTCCCTTGCTCCTAGCAGAGGGCCTGCCACAAGGTAGAAATTCGATAATCATTTAGTGAGTGGTTGAAAGAATGAGCCTTGGAGGTTAAAACCTATCTGTTATCTTGGGATCACCCCTGTACCCAGCAATACTGTTTCCCAAATCAAATTCCACATACCTAGGAGCCTGAATCCTTTCATTCTTGTATCAGTCATCACAGGAAAAGCTTGGCTTCCGACCAAAAGAGATGTGACTTTCATTCTCCAAGGCTTTTACTCTGGAGGAGGGTTAAAATGTTGATCAAGTACGAGTAGTAGAGAAACAAAGCATCTTCAACAATTTCCTAGTAAAGAAAGCAAACAGGAAGTCTCCACAAATATACACAGCACCATGTAGTACATGAGACTGAAATGGAAAGTCCATATGGCTGGTTAGTAAGCCAGTGCAGAGTTCTCCTCAGTCCAGTTGATATTTTGGAGGCAGAAAATTTATTCCCACTATGGGAATGGCTGATGTGGTTATATTTTGGGGCAGGTTGGTGGACAGACAAAACGGCCAGGAGAGTTGCTCATTGCATGGATGAACATCCTTTTCTAGGAACATCCATTGCTAGGAAACATCCTTTTCATCCTTTAGAATGTCATGAACATTTGACGTTTTGAAAAGTTCATAACAGAAATGTACCAAAGACCAAAAAAACCCATCCAGTCAAACAAACAAAAAAAAACCCCAAGGATTGAGAACCATTGCTTTGGATTTTAGACAATGCAACCCCAAATACAGAAATGTTTGACCTAATTTCTGATTCCACAAACAGCTTTGGGGAAATCATCATTGCTTTGCCCTAGTCTTCCCAGAACAAGAACCAAATGTCCTCGAGGACACCAAATGACACCACCACCCAACCGCCAAACTGGCACCAGCAGACATAGGCTATTTGCAGAGAGCACGCCGCCTCTGCTGTGAGTGGGCAGTGAACTACCAGGGAGATTCATGTTGCCTGCCTGGAGACAGGGTTGCTAGGTGCCTCTCAAGTAGTGAGATGGAGAGGTGTACGTTATTTCCCCTCCACTTCTTGTTTTATACAGTGGCAATTGTAGCCTGGAAACAAAAGCAAAGAATAGTGTCTGTGGTGTTAGGAATAATGACTAGCCAAGTGCCCTAGGGGGCAAAAGGAGCAGAGTTGAGGCTTTTATCAAGAGCAGAAGAAAAAAGTAATGGGATTTGGTTTCACCATAATTGCTTAAGCAGCCTGGGTGAGAAGTAATTATGAGTTCATCTGGCTCCAGAGAAACCCCACCTCTTCTCTTCTCCAGAATGTACTAAAATATCAACATTGCATCACCAGAAATCACTCCCATTGGTGGCCTTTCTGTAAGGAGAGCAGCATGCTCTGTCTCCCTGAAAGTCACTGGCACTTGTATAGACCCAGGAATTTATATCTTTCCAAGACACATAAAATATTCCTGGCACTCACTCTTCACTTGAAAACTCAGAGTGCTTGCCCATTATTATATCATGGAGGAAGTGTTTTTTTTAAAAATATGGGAGTGATGAAATGCAGAGAAGGAAATGAAGGAACAAGATAGGGGCTCTATGTCACTACAACAGCCCTGCCATGGTTTGACCTGGGGGAGGTCCTGGGTTTCAGAATCAGACAATTCACTGATGATATTCCACACGTTCACCAGGCTTCCGTGGCCCTAAAGTGGTCACCTAGTTCTCAAAAGAACAAACCTAACCTTGGAAGGCATCAGGTAGGACTTGAATTTTAACTAGGTTAGTAGTCCAAGTTACAATCTAGATAAAAGCCAAGCAATGCTGCTATAATACGCTTATGTGGATTTTATGTGAACTCTGAGAATGAGGTTTTTTGGTATATGATTGTAGAAAGAACATGGGTTCAAAACCTGGGTTCAGGCTGGGTTCAAATCCTGACTCTGATGCTTACTAGCTATATGTGAGTTACTCGCCTTCCCTAAGCATCACATTCAAATGAGAATGAGGTAAAAATATCAGTTCCCTTGCAGAATCTATGTAAGGATGAGAAGTAACATGTAAAATGTCTATTTGGAATAGAGGATATACAGATAAATGGTAGGGCACATTACAATTCTGTCTCTGGATGAGAAAGGCTAATCTAATTGCCTCTATACGTGCAGCGCTGTGGAGGTCATAAAGATGTACCACACATGACTTTTGTCTCTTAACTATCACAGTTTAGTTAGATGGGGAAGAGAGTTGGGGGAGAGGGGGGAAAAGGACTCCCCCTTTGAAGTGAGGTGGGGAGGGGTTCGGGAACAGTGCAGGTGGAGCAATAGCTTTAACCGCTGAACAGAAAAACACAAGTGTGACTTGCCAACCACTAAGATTTACACAGAAGACAGATTTAACCAAAAAAGTCAAATTTTGTTTGATTAAACAAAAAAGACCAGTCCACTAAGAAGGGACCCATTTTAGTACCTAAAGAACATACTAGCAAAATAATCCAGGTCTCACTGCTCTATTTCCCAAGGGCACATTCTTGAAGAAGACTGGAGCACTTTGAAAGTTCTAAACATGGACCTTGATTAGGCTCATCTGTGGTGGATAGGTACACGAGTGATCGTCTTTATTTCACAAGAGAAGTCAGTTTACAGTTAGAAAATGAGGGATAGAAATAAATCATCCAACTTCTTACAAAGTGCAAACTAAAGTACAAGTTTCAAATGTATTACTTTATAAAGTTAAGTGGCTTACACTACCCATGACTCGGCTGTCATATATTCCTTTAAATACATATTGGGCTTATGCCTAATAAGCATGTTTAATTATGAACATGGAAGACCAAATAAACAGCATTTTATTTCCTGGAAATCATAGTTCTGCACTCCCAGGAAAATCCAACCTTCATCATTATTGACCACCCCCTTAGTAGCAGAAGAGGAGAAAAAAACACAATAGCACTAATTATGTATTGAAGTTACACTCATGCTTTATAGATTGTTTGGATTTGCTAAATAGTACATAATCTTGAGTACAAATGATATTTTCTCCAAAAATTATTCCATACAAATAAAAAAATTACCTTATATCTATTCAATTATTTTGAAAAGCTAATTGCATATATTTGTATAAAATGTATAGCTTTTCCCAAACTCTTTTTGGAGATAAGAAAAAAACTCACTTTATATTTGAACTCATACAAAGTTTCTCCTGTTTTATGGGAGGCCTATTCAATCATCCTGATTCAGTCTCAGTCAGTAGAAATTTAAAATGCTTATAGAAGTCAACTGATGGAGTTGATTTTTTCTGTGTCCATTCTTTTTTATTTTTTTGGTGTCATTAATATATAATCACATGAGCAATGTTGTAGTTACTAGATTCCCCCGATTATCAAGTTCCCACCACATACCCCATTATAGTCACTGTCAGTGTAGTAAGATGCTACAGAGTCACTACTTGTCTTCTCTGTGCTATACTGCCTTCCTCATGCCACCCCCCATGTTATGTGTGCTAATTGTAATGCCCCTTATTCCCCTTATCCCTCTCTTCCCATCCACCCTCCCTGGTCCCTTTTCCTTTGGTAACTGTTAGTCCATTCGTGGGTTCTGTGAGTCTGCTGATGTTTTGTTTCTTCAGTTTTTGCTTTGTTCTTATACTCCACAAATGAGGGAAATCATTTGGTACTTGTCTTTCTCCTCCTGGCTTATTTCACTGAGCATAATACCCTCTAGCTCCATCCATGTTGTTGCAAATGGTGGGGTTTGTTTCCTTTTTATGGCTGAATAATATTCCATTGTGTATATGTACCACATCTTCTTTATCCATTCATCTACTGATGAACATTTAGGTTGCTTCCATTTCTTGGTTATTGTAAATAGTGCTGCAATAAACATAGGGGTGCATGTGTCTTTTTGAATCTGGGCTCCTGCATTCTTAGAGTAAATTCTTAGGAGTGAAATTCCTGGGTCAAATGGTATTTCTATTTTTAGTTTTCTGAGGAACCTCCATACTGCTTCCCACAATGGTTGAACTAGTTTACATTCCCACCAGCAGTGTAAGAGGGTTCCCCTTTCTTCACATCCTCGCCAGCATTTGTTGTTCCTAGTCTTTCCTATGTTGGCCATCCTAACTGGTGTGAAGTGATATCTCATTGTAGTTTTAATTTGCATTTCCCTGATAATAAGCAATGTGGAGCATCCTTTCATGTGCCTGTTGGGCATTTGAATTTCTTCTTTGGAGAAGTGTCTGTTCATATTCTCCACCCATTTTTTAATAGGGTTATTTGTTTTTTGGGTATTGAGGCATCTAAGTTCTTTATATATTTTGGATGTCAGCCCCTTATCAGATATGTCATTTACAAATATATTCTTCCATACAGTAGGATGGCTTTTTGTTCTGCCGATGGCATCCTTTGCTGTATAGAGCTTTTCAGCATGATGTAGTCCCATTTGTTCATTTTTGCTTTTGTTTGCTTTGCCCGAGGAGATACGTTCAGGAAAAAGTTGCTCATGTTTATATTCAGGAGATTTTTGCCTATGTTGTCCTCTAAGAGTTCTATAGTTTCATGACTTAAATTCAGGTCTTTGATCCATTTTGAGTTTACTTTTGTGTAAGGGGTTAGACAATAATCCAGCTTCATTCTTTTGCATGTAGCTGTCCAGTTTTGCCAACATCAGCTGTTGAAGAGGTTGTCATTTCCCCATTGTATATCCATGGCTCCTTTATCATATATTAAACTGATGGAGTTGATTTTTTAAAAAAAGAGAGAAAGGCAAAAATATTTTACACAGACCTTGGATCATTCCTGAAAGTTTGAATTCTAAATTATAACATTTGGGTGATATTGTAAATCATCCTTTTAAAGATCAACTTAAGCAATACAGTAATACTAACAATCAGTAAGTGGAAAGATCATAAATATAAAACAATGTTTGTATCCTCCCAATATTCATATGTTGAAATCCTAACCCTCAATGTCCTGGTTTAGGAGATGGGGCCTTTGGGAGGTGATTAGATCATGAGGATGGAACCCTCAGGATGGAATCAGTGTCCCCACCAAACACCAGATCTGCCATCACCTTGATTTTGGACATCCTGGCCTCAAAAGTTGTGAGAAATAAATGTTACTAAGCGTATGGTGTTTTTGTTATTGCAGCCTGAGCTAAGAAAACCCACAAATGAAATAAACCAACTGTGGAGTCAAGATGACTGCCTGAACATGCTTACTTGTATTTTTATACATTTCTGAAACCCACTAAAACATGGAAAAGGATTTTTTTTCAGAACACCAAA